AAAAAAAAAAAAAAGAAATCAAGTAGTTGGGATTGAGTCTAGGAGTGCTCTACCACTGAGCTACATCCCCAGCCCTTTTCCATTTTTTATTTTATGACAGTCTCTCTAAGCTGCCCAGGCTGATTTTGAGCTTGAGATGCACCTGTCTCAGCTTTCCAAGTAGCCGGGATTAGACACCAGTTTAGACATCCTCCATTTACTTCTAACTTTGAAGGAAATGCCTTTAATGGCTTGTCACTGAGTAGGATGTTTGCTGTTGACTATGGTGAGTATGTTTTGCTCCTGGCTTCCTAAGAATTTTAAGGTTCTAACTCTGTTTTAGTCAAGAATGCTGGCTGAATTTTATCAGAACCTTTAAAATCTCTATCTTAGGAGATAGGATATCTAAAGGGATATGCTTTTATCTTGACCTTGCATAGTGAGTGGTAGGAACAGACTTTCTCACACCCTCGCATAAGTTTGCTAAGGTTTCATGTGTGTGGGGTGTAACTGGGGGGCAGTGATTCCCAGTGTATGTTCAGTGCCATCCACCTGCCTTAGAGCTGCGTGCAGGTTTCCACATCCTAACCACGCTCCCTCCTGCTTCTGGGAACTCTTCTGCACAACCATGTGACCCTGACAATAAATCTTTCACTAACTTTCATTTTCCTCCCGTAGTTTCTCATCTAGTCAGGCCTTCTACAGCGTAAAAAGATCTTAGTAATTTATGCCAAGACAAAGTTGTACATGATATCCTTTCCGAATCTGGAATCTCTTACTTGTGCTCCTCCAATGCTCTTTTCACTGTGCATTCTCTCCTTTAAAACTCTGATCTGTTAAACATTCACCTATTTTCCTTCCTTTGAAAATATGGCTTTTGGCTTTAACTTTTATTTTTAAAAAATTGCAGTTTGTTTTCAACTTATCTTGTTCCTTTAAGTATTTTTTTGTAGTTTGCGGTGCGCTTCCTTCGTGATAGCTGTCAGAGGACACTGGGTGCCCTCATGTGGGTCCTTTGCAGCCTGACACACGTGGCTAGGGCACAGGCTTCACTCCTGCTGTCCCTTTGGCTTCTTCCCATAGGTGCTTTCTTTTCTAAACAGTCTGTCTTACTATTTTGGTTTCATTTGTAACTAAGTGTTACCTACACGGGTATTTGCAGATTTCCAAGTAGAAAGCTTGGGCGTGGGTTCTTGTTCCCTGACCCTGGAGTTGGAGCATAGAGCTTCACCTAAGGCCTCCGGGTGCCCGGTGCACGGCCACGCCCAGCCCACTCACCCTAGAGTCTCCGCTGGGCTGCAAATGTTTGCTCTTGGAGGCTCTTTACAAGCATTTTTTTTTGGTTTTGTTTGGTTTGGTTTTGCTTTTCGAGACAGTCTCTCTGTGTAGCCCAGGCTGGCCTCAAATTTGCAGGCATCCTCCCGCCTCAGCCTCTGACTGCTGGGACTTTAGGGGTGTACAGTCATGCCTGCTGACTCTCTTTCACTCTTCTCTTTTTCACTGTGTAAATTTCACTTTTTAGTACCTCAGGAGCTGCTCCTAACTAGCCCATGGCCTCAGTTTCTCTAATTAACCCCAGCCACACTAAGGCACTGAGATGTCCTGTGTCCCTGAGGACCCTCTGCTTGTACAGACTCTGTCCCTTCTGCCAGAAGCCTCTGACCTTCCCTGTGTCATTGCTTCTACTTCTCGGCATAGAGTGGGCAGATCCTCCTTCTTGCCCCCTTTCCGTCTCTTTTCTCTGGGCCCTGTAGCACTGTATAGATACCTGGTCATTGTTGTGCCAGGAAGCGCTTACTGGTTGGCATTCTTTCCCTTCTGCAAGGCTCTACAAGGTGATCTTCCAGTGAACCCCCCCATTCATCTTATGGGGAGGACTTAGTGGACAGCTGCATGTCACCAGGATCTGCAGAGCGCATGCACAGTAAGGCAGTGACAAGTAAGACTCTAGCCCAGACTTGTTCCCCAAAAGAGTTAGCCCCAACCTCTAAAGTCAGGAGATATCCAAGGGCAGAGCCCGTCCCAGCTGGCCTGACCCAAGGGTGCATGACATTCCCGGGTGGCATAGCTGGGGGCTGTGTTGGCCAACACCTGCATAACGTGTGCTTCTGAGTATCGACAAGTCCAGGGAAGACCCTGCATGAGTT